GCCAATGCACTTTTACTATTTTATCCTCTGACTCTCATATCCACACACACACACACACACATATACACACACACACACACACACATATACACACACACACACACACACACACATATACACACACACACACACACACACACATATACACACACACACACACACCGCTCCATTATCCCTCTCTCCAACAAGGCAGACCATTCATCTGCCACGCAGGCCGACGTGCCTGGAATTGGATCACTGCTCTTAAAGCATCTGAGCACAATGAGCAAACTGTGTGTGTGTGTGTGTGTGTGTGTGTGTGTGTGTGTGTGTGTGTGTGTGTGTGTGTGTGTGTGTGTGTGTGTGTGTGTGTGTGTTTAACGTGTTCACACCTGAATGCTAATAGAGGAGGAGCGCGGGCGTGGTTTAGGTTTGACAGCTGAATTAACTGGCAGTAGCAGAACACCTTCAGTAATTGTGTTTGACACTAATGTTCCACTATTAATCTGAATGTGATAATATTTGATACAGGTCATTTAAACAGATATAATATTTATACATTATTTACTTTAGATATTTACTTTAACTTTAAATTATAAAACAGATTCTGAATGTAGTGTTTTCAGATTAAGAGTCGGGACGTGTTGATGTCATTCAGAGGTTACAGTCACCTCTGTGCTCAGACCAACGACAGACTGAGAAACCTGTTTATAAACACTTTGAAAAGACATTTCAAGTATGTATTTAAACAATTAATTAAGATAATTAATGTTCATGAGTCATGAAACCTTTGAGTGTGAATATTGTTTTTCTCAGAATAAGATGATTTTAATGACTTCCTCTGCTGTCAAAATAAAATACCAGCTTTCCTCTACATTTCTATGAAATGATGAAGGAGAACTTTGTAGGGCAGGTAAGGGTTAATGTGCCTGAACAGTACAGCTCTGACTGAGGAAGTCCTCCAGTGCTGTGACATCAGCAGGTTCTGCTTTTTGTTTGCCAACAGTGAGACGGTGCGGCCTGAACCCGCGGTGACTCACGGCGGCGGAGTCTCCCTTGGAAAACACCAAACACACACCGACGCTCAGAAATGTGCAGATCCAGTTTGTGAAGTGTGAGGTCATCGTGGGAGCAGAGACAGCCGCCTCGTGAGATCAGACCAGAGGCTGCGCCTTGTGTCAGCTGGAAGCTAAAGGTCAAAGCTTCATCTTATAGGATGATGCTGCGTTCAAGTGCCACTGGGTGAAACGTCAGAGTGATGATGAGTGATGAGCAGACTTCAGCTTTCAGAGAGTCATCACCACATTCTCTGTTTCATCTCAGAGCAGGAAGTGATGAAACGAACCAGTCGCACTGAACAAAGCTTCATGTTCCTACCAGTGACCCCTAGAGCCTGCAATATGAATTACACCTCACATTACACCTGTGGAGGACAAATATATTTACCTCCTTATAAACAAAACAAGCATCAACCTCCAGACTGAAACATGAAGCTGCAGTTCCTCTAACGACCACTAGAGTCTGGCTCCAACAGTGAGTCAGTCCCCATAGACTCCCATGTTAAAATGTCCAACTTTACAGCAGAAATCAACATGTTTACAGCCTGGTACAAAAACTGTTTTGGTCTCTAGAGCTAATTTCCTCCTTCATGACACCTGTTTATATAACTCACCTGTTTACATTTTATTAAGACTTAAAGAAATGGAGGGTTGGGGGCGTGGCCTCTTTAAGTGACAGGTGGGTGAACATATGCTTGAGACAAACCAGCATGAACTGAAGTCTCAGATCAACACAAACCCCTCCTCTTTGACCATTTTTGGATCAGCTGGGAGTAAGGGGGCGGAGTCAGACACTGCCAAGATGGCGACAGTAGGGCAGCTCACTCTGAGCTTCAGAAACCTGCGGGTGATGTCACAGAGGCGACGTCCATCTTTATTTACAGTCTGCCACAGGTCGATTGTGCAGCAGGTTATTATGACCCATAGTTACATTTTGTTGCTAGGCAACCTTAGTATTTGTGTGACTGTTAAAATCATTCCCAGCTGCAGAAACAACAACACAACATTAGAAACATGTGAAAAAAATGTCAGGCACTGGGCCAGAGTCAGGACAGTGAAACAACCGACATGAAGACATTAATGAAGAATGAAGATGGAATTGTGTTTGACGAGAACTGGAAGATGTGAGCAGTAAAACAGACTGATCCAACCTTCACACAGACGTCACATGTGGAATCAAAGCAAATCAAATAATGGTTTTTATTTGTTCAACATGTTCATGTCACATGGGAAACAGATGGTCTGAGCAGTGAAATAAGTTCTTGAAAAGAAACCTACTTTGATGCAAGAAACACCTGAAAAAATGACATTAATAAAAAGTCATAATAATTTAAAAAAAACTGCTTTCACATGAAAACCAACACGACAGAGAATTCAGGCGACTGAATCCGAGATTCTGAAAATTATTTTGTAAAAAATGAAAATTTACATATGTTATAAAAAAGTAGTGACCTTACAACAGAATTGTCAAGATAAGAATAAATTCATTATTTTACAAGAACAATGTTTATATTTTAAGAACAGAATGTGGTTATTACTGTTATTAATGAATAATTATTATTAATTAAAAAACTTGAATTTACAACCTTTTTACAACATTTTTGCTTGCAGAATTGTAAAATTATAACTAAGTATTTAGTTAAACTAGTTAAACTAGTTAAACTAGTAACTTTTTTGTAAAATTGAATTTTCCTAAAATATTTATTTTTGATGTTCAGTTCAAATTTATTCCTTAGAATGTTAAAGCTTTTGTTCCCATGTCTTTTCCTGATATATAAGGGCATTTTCTTGTAAAATCATGACATTGTCTCTTCACATTACAATTTTCTGTGTAAACTTATTATAAACTTATCATTATTGTAATATTAAGTAGGCAATTTTTTTCTCAAATTACTTTATCACAAATAGTTTTATTCTGAAAACTTTTCCTTTTTCCTTTAAATATTTTGACTTTAACACAGTGGTACAAGATATGTACATGTTTCAAAAAGCCATGATGCATTTTTAACTTTTTTGTTTTGTATAAATGAATTAAAGAAAAAAATAAGCATACGTGTAAAAATACATTTAAAATTCTCCTGGTAAAAATGACATATATCCTCTCAGAGTCCACCTGTTTTAAACCTAATCCATTTGCATATGTAAATGTGATGAGCTGATAACAGAAGAACTGTACTAGCTCCACAGTACCTCTTTAATAGAACTCTTTAATATGAAATAATAAAAAAAACACCTCTGAAAGCCTATTGGTCCTGCTGCTGTGCCCACCCCCCTAGTTTGGGGGGGGGGGGCGTCTACCTACAAGCTCAAGTCATCCAGAAAAGCTGTGAAAAAAACTGGCCCTTTCCGGCGGAGAGAACGCCGTCATGTTTAAACTGACAAAGGTTTAAACATTTACTCCATCAGAACCGTCTAATGGGCCGTGTACGGGCCAGCGGGTCATATCTGATATGATGTAGACGACATATATGCAGCGTATGTGCAAAATTACAGATATGTCAAATTACATGAAGTATATAAACACAACAACGTAACTACACATGTGTAATACTGTGACACAGAGCGGTGGAGTAACTGCAGGATCTGTTGGAGTGGGAGGAACCACATCGTTCAGGTGTTGTTGTTATTTTGTCCAGATACACGTGTGTGTGTGTGTGTGTGTGTGTGTGTGTGTGTGTGTGTGTGTGTGTGTGTGTGTGTGTGTGTGTGTGTGTGTGTCATGAAGCTGGTGTCACATTCATCATCGTCCCTCATAAATCTCACAGAGAGAAACACTGAAGTCTGAGGTTCCTCCTAACAACAGGTCAAACTGTCGGGACAAACAGAGGAGGCGTCCAGCAGGAAGGAGGAGGAGGAGGAAGAGGAGGAGGACGGGTGTGTTGTCAACGGTCTGCAGCCGAAGATCAAACATCAGAGATTAGGGAGAAACAGCTGGAATCATAAGAACAGATCTGAACATCTGTATCCCTGATTAATAAAAGGACTCAGTGATGAGGAGTCCAGCAGACCCTCGTCTGTCCTCTAACTGTCCTCGCTGAGTTTCCCTCCTCTGAGGATCACCTGTTCCTCATCTACCACTTATCATGCTCAGTATATGTTGTGCTGTCCGATCGCATGCATGAAACCTGGTCACCTGGCATGTCACCTGTCTGCCTTCTCTCCTTCTTTGTGCTGCAGTTACTCTATTTACACGAGTCTCAGAGAAAATATGCACCTGTGACAGACTGAAATCACACTCGCTATTTAGAGAGCGTAAGTGTTTTCACATCAACAGAAACATGCAGTAGACTGACCAGACGTCCCCGTGTTACAGGGACGGTCCCTGTTTTTGGTGTCCTGTCCCCAGAGAATGTCCCCGTGAATTAGAAACAAATGTCTAGTGTTGCGCTCGTTTTGGCCAACAGAGGGGGCTGGTTGCTAGCTAAAGAAGTTTTTTTTGTTGTCTCTAGGCAGAGAAGGTTAGCTCGCTCACAAAGGAGTTCAGGAGTTCATAACCAGGCAGTAAACCAATGAAAAACAAACATACGCAAAACCCCCATTTCCCAGCTAATTAGTTAGTTGACAAACTAAGCTAACAAGGACAGGTATGCTGAGCGCAGACACTGATACTTGCTAATTAGTGCTAACATATAAACAAACAAACACCACCACACAGAGATGTCTCATACACTGACTCAATCAGCTGAGGTGACGCCGAGCTGACAGCTAGCGGCTAGTCAAATGTGACCGCACCCACCTGTCACTCAAAGAGGCCACGCCCTCAATTCTCCATAACTGTAGTGCTTAATAAAATGTAAACAGGTGAGTTATATAAACAGGTGTCATGAAGGAGGAAATTAGCTCTAGAGACCAGAACAGTTTTTGTACCAGGCTGTAAACATATTTATTTCTGCTGTAAAGTTGGACAGTTTAACATGGGAGTCTATGGGGACTGACTCACTGCTGGAGCCAGACTCTAGTGGTCGTTAGAGGAACTGCAGCTTCTGGTTCTTCTTCATGTTTCAGCCTTGGAGGTTGTTTCTTGGGATGAAGGAGTGAATATAACCTACTGTGTTCACTGTTGTGCTGGGTGACTGTGGATATGTTGTTTGGTCTTTTATTTTAATTCCACAGTCAGAATAAAGTCTGTCCTAGAGTGACAGGAAGTGGGACAGTCAAAAAAATTAAGTAAAAATGGAAAGACCTTCTTCTGCTGTGACCAAGGTTGAGATGGAGATGATTTTTTTACGCTCTTATTTCTTCACCTTTAGATTATTGTAAGGGTCATTGTAACTTTAGAGTCTTGCATGGTCAAACACGTCAGTATATTGCTGAGCTCCTCCTCCTTTATCCGGCCAATCAGGCTCTTAGGTGTGCTCAACATAAATTACTGGCTGTACCTCAAAACCACAACAAAAACTGAGGTGACTGTGATTTACAAGTTGTGGAAAACTCCCTTCTTCAATTCGACCCCTGGACTCCTGTGAAACAGCAGCAAACATTTTTATTCAGACAGGCCTGTCTGAAGAGCTGCTTCATTTTATTCCTCCACGCTGGCGACAACCAAAGAAGGAGCCATATTGTTTTTGGGTTGTTCGTCTGTCTACATGTCTGTCTCATCTTGGTGAACAACATAGCTCAGTAACGCCTTGAAAGAACTTCTTCAAATTTGGGACAAACATTCACATGGAGTCGACGATGAACTGATTCGATTTTGGTGGCTTAAGCTCAAACTTCAAAGGGCGAGGTCATGGTGACTGTCACACAGTTGATGAAATTGATGCATTTAATTAAAGTGTTGCATGTTTAATGGAATACATATAATCTAATGATAAAATGTAACTCTATCACCATTAATCATATTCTGTAGAGTGAAAAGATGTTAATAGCATCACACTGAGTATGTTACTTTCTTCCCTTGAATAAAGATAATTCAATTCATCAAATCAAAAATTAAAACCAAGTTATTTTATTATTCTACTCAGTTTGATTGACAGGACAGATGATCAGAGGGGCGGAGTTTTTACCACCATCATTATTACAGGGACTGAAGTATGGGTAGAGTTTCTCAGTGAAGGAGCAGCCAGTAAAGGAGTAGATGAGAGCTGCAGCAGCTACGTCATAAAAGGAGACCAGACCCTCCTCATAATCCACAAACACCCCCACCTTCTCAGGCTGAGACTTCAGAGAGAGACAGACTGGAGGGTCATCAAGAGCTCTGTACTCATTTCCATTTCTCAACCATATCGTCCAGTAACCATCATCAGGGCTCAGTGTGATGACTCCGTTCCTGTCGATCGACTCTCTGGCCACTCCTAAATCCCAGTCAGTCTTTCCTTTAACCTGAACCTCAAAGTAAAATCTGCCTGAAGAGAAACTCTGCTTTCCTAACACACAGGGACAAGAAGAAAACCTCTCTGGGTTGTCTGGGAGATTCTTCCTCACATCACCATGATTGACTTGTTTTCCATCATCAGACAGGATGAGTTTAGGATGTGCTGTATCAGGATCCAGAGTCACATCCTCTGCATACTGCTGGACCCTCTTCAGCTCAGCCTCAATCAGCTTCTTCATCTCTTCACTGAGCGTCTCCTCCAGCTGAGCCACAGCTCTCACCACAGTCCCCTCATATGATGGTGGACGGACTCTGACCTCTGTCCAGTCCTTGGTGGGTGGAGCAGCTTTCAGGGATGGGAAGCTTTGGAGGAGGTGGAGGTGGTCTTCAGAGAGTGAGAGCTGCTCCACCTCAGTGCTTCTCTTCATCAGCTCAGAGATTTCCTGTTCCAGCTCTGTGATGAAGTCTTCAGCCTGTTTGTCTGTGGTTTTCTGTTTGTCTTCGATCTCCTTTATGAGCTGGTTCAGGCCTCTGTCAACAGACTCCTTCAGAGCAGTGAAGACCTGAACACCTTCTGCTTTCTCTCTGTCTGCATCATCTTTACTGATCTTGACTGAGTGTTTGATCTCCTGAATCTTCACTCGTCTCTTCTGGATCATTTGCTGAATTTCAGCCTCTGTCTCCTCCAGCTCTGCCTTCTTTCCTTCATATCCTTCTTTCAGAGGAACAAACTCATGTGTCTTGTGGTCTAAAACAGAGCAGAGCATGCAGACACATGTCTGGTCGGTCTGACAGAACAGCTCCAGAGGTTTATCGTGCTTCGTACACATCCTGTCTTCCAGGTTCTCCACAGGGTCGATCAGCTGATGTCTTTTCAGGCCTGACACTGTCAGGTGAGGCTCCAGGTGAGTCTCACAGTAGGAGGTCAGACACACCAGGCAGGACTTCAGGGCCTTCAGTTTGGTTCCAGTGCAGACGTCACAGGAAACTTCTCCTGGTTTGGAAACTTGTTGCTCTGAGCTGCTGCTGCTGGTTTTCTGTTGAGCTTCATGTTTGAACTGAGCAACCACCTCAGAGATGAAAGTGTTGACCCTGAACTGAGGTCTTACATAGAAAACCTCTTTACACATGGGACACTGACATGGGACATTAATGTCCCAGTGTGTAGTGATGCAGTTCTTACAGAAGTTGTGTCCACATGATGTAGTGACTGGATCAGTGAACACATCCAGACAGATGGAGCACAGGAACTGATCTTCAGATCTCAGGTTGCTGGCAGCAGACATGTCTACACACTGAGAGAGAAAGAAAAGAAACATTTCATTTGAAATAATCTTTTAATTATTTGTTTAAAAGGAAGAAGAGTGATGACTTTTACGTTTAGTATAAACTGTGATATTAGTCAAAGTAATTTTGAGTTATGTCATAATTCAGTGGGGACAGGGAAACTTGTACCGAGCTGAGTCGTGTCACGACTGAACAAGGACGTGAACCCAAACGCACGACTCAAGACCAAAAGATACAAAAATAAACAATCTTTATTGATAAAGTAACAATACAAAATCACTCTCTAAGGAGGCAAAAAACTACTAACCAAAAATCGCTCTTGATAGAGGAAAACACGTTCGTGAGAAAATAACAAGGATAACACAAGAACTCAAAGGTACCTGACGTGGCTTGGATATGGTGACAAATGGCTTGGCTGACTGTAACAAACAAGACGAACTAGCACAGGACAAAGAGAGACACAGACTCTAAATACACACAAGGTAAGGAGACACAGGTGGAGACAATCAGGGGGGAAGGAGCAAGTTATTTGAAACGAGAGGGAAGTACGATTTCAAAATAAAACAGGAAGTCACGAGACAGCATAAAGTCAGGACAACACAAAAGTAACTTAACATAATTTCTTGGACATGACAAGTCGCGAGTAACTGTGACCATTTAATCTGTTAAAGCTCAAATATTCATCCACATGAGTTTATAGCAGCTAAATGCAATAAATTCAAAATGGCTGACTTCCTGTTGGGTTTAGGGTATGGGTGCCAGAGGCTTTTCTGTAAGTCTTGGCATGTTACACGTTTCTACTGAATTTCATACATGTAGGTGAAGCACAGGGCGAGTATTGCCTTGTTTTAAAGTTTCTAGGGGGCGCTGTTGAGCCAACTTTATACTCCCATGTGGAAGACCCATAAAATATATAGACTTTTAGCAGGTAAAGTTCCACTTACTTGGTGACAAACATAATGTATTTCCTCTTGCTGCTTCACAATAAAAGGCCTGTTACTCGTTCACAGGTGCTGGAAAGCTTTTATTGTGAAACAGCTAGAGGAAGTAGAATGTATTACAGCTGTAGGAAGTGATAATTTAACAGTAATAAAAGCAGGAAATGAGTGAAAGTAAAGTGTAAACCACAGAGACTCAGTAAGGAGTTAGAAACGTCCTGAGAACTGACACAGAGACAGTTTAAGGTGGACTATAGTGGGTCTGTGGACAAACACACACAGTTATATTGTGACCCATTTCACAAGTGTCAGTATGAAATGAAGAGAGTGAAACTTCCACCTGAGTAGAGATGAAGATTTGTGTTGGTGCTGGTTGTTCAAACAGTAAATATGATCAGCTGTACTCACCAGTGTTTGGTAGAGACTCTGCTGTGTTGTTGACAAAGACCTGATGGACTCAGTTTAATTTTCTGTCAGAGAGAAACAGACTCGTCTCCACTGCAGCTCAGTTGTTGCTCTGACAGACTTAAGTTTCATTTCTGGAGTGAGACGTTGAAGCTGTGCTTTGTTTCCTGTGTTGCTCCTCTTCTCACTGCAGCTCAGTTTCTCTCTGCTTTTATTGTGAAAGAGCAGGGTTTCCTCTGGTGAAAATGGAGCAAAGGTGGAACTGCACCTCACAGGTGGGAGGAGTGAAGTTTCTGAATGATTGTTACTGTTCAGATAAAACTTTATTGATCCGTGGTGAAACGTCATGTTCCAGCAGCAGAGAGACAGATTTGACTTTCATTTTATTTTCATCAGACAGGATCTTTAAAACATTTCAACATCAGCTGAGTTTATTTTACAGTTTTCTTTTTACAATCACATATTTACAGATTCATTTAAATCATAAACCATCTCACCTGCATTTATAAAAGTAATAAAACATGTCCAGTAATTAACAAAATTATTCTCTATTAGAATCTAATGTATTAATTAACTGTTCATGTTCAGTGTAACAGTGACAGCTGCTGTTGTCTGTATCTGTGTGTAACGGGCCTCACTCTCAACTGAAGCTTCATGACACGATGAAATATTCATTATTATTTTTTCTGTAGCTGCTCTGACATTTTTCTCCACATTTTTTCTGTCTTTAGAAACTATGATTCTGATTCTACCGGAGCTGAAAGTAAAAGTCTGTGTGTTTAACTGAAGTTTAAACAGATTTTCTCCACATGTCCAATGGACACATTAGTGACTGTGACAGGGTTTATGTAAATAATGCATCTAATTCATGTGTTTTCTGTGAAACATAATAAATATGATGAAAAGACTCATGATGAAAAGTGATCAAACCACCACAGTCATCAGATTCTGTAGAAAGTGAGAAGATGTAAACCGCATCACACTGAGTATGAACATTTGTTCTCTTGAATAAATATGAATCAATTCATAAAAACAAAAAGTTATTTTATTATTCTACTCAGTTTGATTGACAGGACAGATGATCAGAGGGGCGGAGTTTTTACCACCGTGATTAAGACAGGGACTGAAGTATGGGTAGAGTTTCTCAGTGAAGGAGCAGCCAGTAAAGGAGTAGATGAGAGCTGCAGCAGCTACGTCATAAAAGGAGTCCAGACCCTCCTCATAATCCACAAACACCCCTGCTTTCTCAGGCTGAGACATCAGAGAGAGACGTACTGGAGGGCCAGCATTAGCATCGTACTCATTTCCATTTCTCAACCATATCATCCAATAACCATCATCAGGGCTCAGTGGGATGAATCCCTTCCTGTTGATCGACTCTCTGGCCACTCCTAAATCCCACTCAGTCTTTCCTTTAACCTGAACCTCAAAGTAAAATCTGCCTGAAGAGAAACTCTGCTTTCCTAAGACAAAAACACAGTGAGAAAACCTCTCTGGGTTGTCTGGGAGATTCTTCCTCACATCACTATCATGTACTTGTTTTCCATCATCAGACAGGATGAGCCAGTGATTTGCTGTATCAGGATCCAGAGTCACATCCTCTGCATACTGCTGGACCCTCTTCAGCTCAGCCTCATTAATCAGCTTCTTCATCTTTTTACTGAGCGTCTCCTCCAGCTGAGCCACAGCTCTCACCACAGTCCCCTCATATGATGGTGGACGGACTCTGACCTCTGTCCAGTCCTTGGTGGGTGGAGCAGCTTTCAGGGATGGGAAGCTTTGGAGGAGGTGGAGGTGGTCTTCAGAGAGTGAGAGCTGCTCCACCTCAGTGCTTCTCTTCATCAGCTCAGAGATTTCCTGTTCCAGCTCTGTGATGAAGTCTTCAGCCTGTTTGTCTGTGGTTTTCTGTTTGTCTTCGATCTCCTTTATGAGCTGGTTCAGGCCTCTGTCAACAGACTCCTTCAGAGCAGTGAAGACCTGAACACCTTCTGCTTTCTCTCTGTCTGCATCATCTTTACTGATCTTGACTGAGTGTTTGATCTCCTGAATCTTCACTCGTCTCTTCTGGATCATTTGCTGAATTTCAGCCTCTGTCTCCTCCAGCTCTGCCTTCTTTCCTTCATATCCTTCTTTCAGAGGAACAAACTCATGTGTCTTGTGGTCTAAAACAGAGCAGAGCATGCAGACACATGTCTGGTCGGTCTGACAGAACAGCTCCAGAGGTTTATCGTGCTTCGTACACATCCTGTCTTCCAGGTTCTCCACAGGGTCGATCAGCTGATGTCTTTTCAGGCCTGACACTGTCAGGTGAGGCTCCAGGTGAGTCTCACAGTAGGAGGTCAGACACACCAGGCAGGACTTCAGGGCCTTCAGTTTGGTTCCAGTGCAGACGTCACAGGAAACTTCTCCTGGTTTGGAAACTTGTTGCTCTGAGCTGCTGCTGCTGGTTTTCTGTTGAGCTTCATGTTTGAACTGAGCAACCACCTCAGAGATGAAAGTGTTGATGTGAAGCTCAGGTCTTCTTTTAAAAACTTTGTTACACATGGGACACTGACACCTGTCACTAATGTCCCAGTGTGTAGTGATGCAGTTCTTACAGAAGTTGTGTCCACATGATGTAGTGACTGGATCAGTGAACACATCCAGACAGATGGAGCACAGGAACTGATCTTCAGATCTCAGGTTGCTGGCAGCAGACATGTCTACACACTGAGAGCGAAAGAAAAGAAACATTTCATTTGAAATAATCTTTTAATTATTTGTTTAAAAGGAAGAAGAGTGATGACTTTTACGTTTAGTATAAACTGTGATATTAGTCAAAGTAATTTTGAGTTATGTCATAATTCAGTGGGGACAGGGAAACTTGTACCGAGCTGAGTCGTGTCACGACTGAACAAGGACGTGAACCCAAACGCACGACTCAAGACCAAAAGATACAAAAATAAACAATCTTTATTGATAAAGTAACAATACAAAATCACTCTCTAAGGAGGCAAAAAACTACTAACCAAAAATCGCTCTTGATAGAGGAAAACACGTTCGTGAGAAAATAACAAGGATAACACAAGAATTCAAAGGTACCTGACGTGGCTTGGATATGGTGACAAATGGCTTGGCTGACTGTAACAAACAAGACGAACTAGCACAGGACAAAGGGAGACACAGACTCTAAATACACACAAGGTAGGGAGACACAGGCGGGACACATACAGGGGGGAAGGAGCAAGTTATTTGAAACGAGAGGGAAGTACGATTTCAAAATAAAACAGGAAGTCACGAGACAGCATAAAGACAGGACAACACAAAAGTAACTTAACATAATTTCTTGGACATGACAAGTCGCGAGTAACTGTGACCATTTAATCTGTTAAAGCTCAAATATTCATCCACATGAGTTTATAGCAGCTAAATGCAATAAATTCAAAATGGCTGACTTCCTGTTGGGTTTAGGGTATGGGTGCCAGAGGCTTTTCTGTAAGTCTTGGCATGTTACACGTTTCTACTGAATTTCATACATGTAGGTGAAGCACAGGGCGAGTATTGCCTTGTTTTAAAGTTTCTAGGGGGCGCTGTTGAGCCAACTTTATACTCCCATGTGGAAGACCCATAAAATATATAGACTTTTAGCAGGTAAAGTTCCACTTACTTGGTGACAAACATAATGTATTTCCTCTTGCTGCTTCACAATAAAAGGCCTGTTACTCGTTCACAGGTGCTGGAAAGCTTTTATTGTGAAACAGCTAGAGGAAGTAGAATGTATTACAGCTGTAGGAAGTGATAACTTAACAGTAATAAAAGCAGGAAATGAGTGAAAGTAAAGCGGAAACCACAGAGAGTCAGTAAGGAGTTAGAAACGTCCTGAGAACTGACACAGAGACAGTTTAAGGTGGACTATAGTGGGTCTGTGGACAAACACACACAGTTATATTGTGACCCATTTCACAAGTGTCAGTATGAAATGAAGAGAGTGAAACTTCCACCTGAGTAGAGATGAAGATTTGTGTTGGTGCTGGTTGTTCAAACAGTAAATATGATCAGCTGTACTCACCAGTGTTTGGTAGAGACTCTGCTGTGTTGTTGACAAAGACCTGATGGACTCAGTTTAATTTTCTGTCAGAGAGAAACAGACTCGTCTCCACTGCAGCTCAGTTGTTGCTCTGACAGACTTTACTTTCATTTCTGGAGTGAGACGTTGAAGCTGTGCTTTGTTTCCTGTGTTGCTCCTCTTCTCACTGCAGCTCAGTTTCTCTCTGCTTTTATTGTGAAAGAGCAGGGTTTCCTCTGGTGAACATGAAGCAAAGGCGGAACTGCACCTCACAGGTGGGAGGAGGGAAGTTTGTCAACTGTTACTGTTCAGATAAATCTTTATTGATCCGTGGTGAAACGTCATGTACCACTTATACCCTGGTGACATATTGGGAAGGTTTTGTAAATAAAGATGGACGTCACCCACATGTTTCTGAAGCTCAGAGTGAGCTGCTCCACCGTCACCATCTTGGCAGTATCTCAATCCGCCCCTAAATCCCAACTAGTCAAAAGTCACTCACATGAAAACCGCCCATGTTCACATGATGCGAGCGCACAAAACAGATCCACGAGAAGGAAACCGATCTCGCAAGGGAGTGAACGCGAACGCACAACGTCTGCGCGAGAGCAAGTTTCCACTCCATGAGCACAACTGCAGCCGCTGGAGCACAGAGCCCTGATGAGCGCTCGCTCAACCCTCGCTACGTGCTCGGATTATTCAAGCTCTCACAATGCCAGATGGGATTTTGGAGGGAGGGAGTGTTTGTTATTCGATGAGGAGTCAGAGCTGAAGAGGTGGAGAGGCCTCCTCAGTTTTTACCTGCACAACGACAGAGGAGGGACACGTTCGGTGAGAGGTGACAGTCAACAGGTGGGAGAATGTTTGGTGAACTGAGCTGATACTTCGTCTGGGATTGTTCCAGTTTCAAACTCTGTCTCAACTCCTGGAGGTTTAAGTGGGTTTATATTGACAATGCTAAATTAACATTAATATTGTTAATATGAGGGGCCATCAGGGGCCCTTTTTCCCCTTGGTGGCCCCAAGTATTTGGCGGTAAATATTAGATTTTTACTGTAAAAGTAAAATTTATCTTCAAAACTTTTTATATCATATGTTAAAAAAACGACAGATTAATCAGTGCCACAAGTTTTGCTATCACAGCGTAGCTAACATTAGCATTAGCAGCTGTTTACTGACCAGTCTAGAAGAAACGTGCATTACTTTATTTACCAACAGCTGTCTTCAGAGGTGGAAACCAACGGCAATGTTAACTCTTGTTCTGCTTCTGTTTCTATCGCTTCTTTTCTTCTTAGAAGTTAGCATGCTAACCAGCTAGCTCGGATGCTGTCAGACTGTCTCGTCACTTTCCAATACTGAGTCACCGTACCGTCCAGGCAGCCCTGAAGAGGTCACTGCTCAGAGGACGTATTATAACCCAGTGATGGTTGAAGCTCTTGGCAAGACTCATAAGTTAACAGCTGTTGATGCTAACGTTAGCTATGTAGCAATAGCAAAACTTACAAGTAGCTCCTTTAAAATCTTAGTAGTTAAAAATCTGTAAACCAAACTTAACAACACAATAAAGTTTTAGTACCAAATTTTAAACTCCTGTGAAGACGACCATGTGACCCCGCAGACGTCATCAGTTCCTGTTCCTGTTCTTCTTCTGCTCTTTGTTTTACATTGTTCAGCCAAACACAACAAACGAAGCAGCTCAGAGGATCAGAGTTCTTCATCCTGAGGGGAACATCAGCATCTGAACCACATTTCATCACAGACACTTCTGTCTGGACCGGAGCTACCCACAATGCCATGCTGCTGCTGTAGCTAAAAAAAAAAGAAAAAGGAACCATCTCTAACAGAGGAACTGCTTGTTTGTGTTTACTGGGAATCCCCTTCCCCTGAGGTTCGCCTCTCAGGCAGCTGTGATGAAGGAAGTGATGACATGTGTGATGACACGTTGATTAAGAGGTGACGCCTCTCTTCAGCCGGCACGGCGGATGACAGAGGTTTGGATCAGCAGCTGCAAACACATCTGGCTGCACTGCCTCACTTCCACTTTCACCAGAAGTGTGTGTGTGTGTGTGTGTGTGTGTGTGTGTGTGTGTGTTGACATCAACATTGAAAGAAGAAGAAGAAAACAGCAAACCTTCCTGTTTCTCACTTGATGCTGTTGAAACCAGAGTATAAACAGGAAGGGAGGGGTGGGGGAGTTTAAAAACAGAGAATGAATGAGCGAGGGAGAGAGAGAGAGAGAGAGAGAGGGAGGGAGAGAGAGTCATGGAGGTCAGGTTGCATCATCACAGTCTCTGTCTCTGGTCAGCTCCATGTAAACAGGAAATGAGGACAAAGGTTTCGTCATGTGAGAGTTTCCCCAACGAGCTGAAAGAGAAACGAGGGTTAATGAAGATCAGACGTCTTTCATCGTGTCTCTGCAGACAGGACGCAGGTTAAAGGACAAGTTTAACATACAGGGAATTCAGGATGTTATTAGCCTAGCTTAGCATAAGGACGGAAAGCAGTGGAGGGATTGTCTCAAAATAGACATTCAGAGACTGTTCTGTAAAAAAAAACAAAAACAACCCCACAGGTCGTCTTTCTGCAGGTCATTATGACATCATAGATAGCTTTTGTTGCTAGGCGACATCTAGTGGACATAGTAATAATGACAGGAGTGAAGAGAAAAGTGTTGGTGACGTAGAATAAAGAGAGACAGAGTCCACGTCAGGAGGAGGATGGATGGATGAACGTGACACAGGAGAGCAGCTGTTCTATTCCCATGTTGTTTCTATTATCAATGATTGTTTGTTGTTATTACTGTAACCATGACAACAGAGATCGTCTAATGTTGAGGAAGTACTTATTTTAACCCAAACCACCATGTTTTCCTGAAACTAACGCTCCAGTAATTCATTTGTAATTCAAAAAGGAAAAATCTGCAAATCTCTTCTTTGTTTTAAACTAAAACGAAAACAAAAACATTTTTGGTGTCAGAATCAAAAAATTAAAAACCATCAAAAATTTTCTGTTTTTGTTTTTTTGGCGTTTCCTTTCATCAGTATTTTGTTTGAAACCAAAAAACGAATTTACATGGTTTTATTTTATTTTTTATTCTAAACCAAAATCACGTTTTTTGTTCCCAAACAAAAAGTGAGAAATCCAAATTCAAAACATCGGTTCAATTTTGGTTTTTCCAAATTAATTTAAATTCAGAATGAAAATTCAAACAAAACCATATAAATAATGAATTTATTTTTTGTTGTTATTGTGAAACTGTATCAGTTGCTTGTTGAATGAAACACTGATGGAATCATTGCTAAATGCTGCTGCTGCCATGTGCACTGCTCTGTACAGCTCTGTGTGAGGTGGATTCACCAAGCACCATGAATCTGTCTGATTCTTCACATCCACATCGAACCTTCGTTTCCTGAGAAACTGACCAAAAAAAACTAAACCGCTCGAGGAACTTGATAAGAGAATTTAACGGGGTCTTCTCTGGACTGTGACCCAGGTGTTCTGGCTTCAACCGACCTTCTGGTTAAAGACTGTCAGAGGCCTGAAACACCTGAAACACCTGAAACACCTGAAACACCTGACACACGAGTCTGTTTTTCCTGTGACACTGAAACAGGCTGTGAGAGAGACCTCACTCCTCTCTCACAGGCAGAGAGGATGCTGGGACTGCAGCCTGCTGCCTGGAGCCACAGCGCCCCCTGCAGAGGCAGCGAGGAACTGCAGGAGGAGGACTGTTCACCACAGGAGGTGTTTACAGAAAACACTCTGACACTGTGAAACATGTCGATATAATATAGAAAATATAATCTGGTTGAAGTTAAATCTCCTTTAAAAACTATTGTTGTAAGTAAGTTTTATATAAACAACAACAAGATTTACCTGTGTGACCTCATCATCACTTTTATACCCAGCTCTAATAATAATAATAATGATAATAATAATAATGATAAAACATTTTATTCATAGAGTTTATTTACACTCTGTGACAGTGTAGCTGCTCATTAGTGGCTCTCGTGGTTCTTTATGTGTTTGTTTCTCAGGTTCTGTCGTCAAGTCCTTTAATGTTCGGACCAACAGCGAACACCTGGCTCAGCTTTTCCCATAATGCAGTGCAGCCTCACCACCGTCGTATGTAACTCCGTCAGACTGGACTTTATCCTGCTGTTGTGTTTCATCCTCTGTGATCAGCCTCTACCTGCAGGAGCCTGATGGGCGGAGTCTGGTCGTCAGGTGGATGCAGCTCACCTGGTCTGGCTGCTCTATATAAGCTGGTGGCAGTCTGAACACCTGCTTAGAGTTTGTCTTTCCTGGACGTCCACTCGACAGCAGGTGGAAGACATGAGGAAGTGAACTGTGAGAAAATCTTCACATTCAAAAAGACAGAGAGACAGAGACAGACAGAGGACGGGGACAGGTGAGGTGGAGGTGAGGTCATGAATATTTAAACCTCCTTCCTGCAGGGCTGTGAAGGGGACACATGAAATTTTAATGAGCGCGCAGGTTAAATGGGACATTTTATGTCTGTAAATGAGACATCGGTGTTTCAGGTGAATATCAATAAGGACAGAATCACTTTTCATCCTGCAACTAAACTAAACACAGACCTGCTGGTTACTCTAACCTGGACTCTACTGTCTCATCTACTGCAGCTTGACTTTACTCTGATGATTGATGCAAGAACATCAATCTGTTAATGATGATAATGATGAAAATACTGTCAAATGTGATTTATGCTCATACATTTGAATAATATATTCATATGTGACCAATCGATTTTAGAGATAAATATATAAATATATATATATGTGTGTGTGTATTCTGATGTTTACTTTATAATGATTAGATCATAATAAGACGCTTCAGCCAGAATCTGCCCAGACTCGGGCCGAGGACTCGGGCACAAGTTTCATTTTGCTGTTTGAGATTGTGGATTCAAACCGACAACTCTCCCCACCGCAGCAGGTGACTGTACATAATGTAATACATGTAACTATATTTAATTTCACTAATTTTTAATTTCACAATTTCACTATATTAATATATTACCATATTTTTATGTGAAATTTATTTCCATATTTTGCAAGTTATGTTCAGATAACATGTATTTAAAATACATGTATGAGTACATACATGTGTATAAAAGTATTTCTGCTACATATTAGCATGTAGTATTAGCATATAGTTAGCAGTTATAGTTCTTTATTTAACATATATGTTCATATTTAGACATGTAAACTAGATAACTGTGTGTGTGTGTGTGTGTGTGTGTGTGTGTGTGTGTGTGTGTGTGTGTGTGTGTGTGTGTGTGTGTGGACAGCTGCAGTATTGAGATGCTGCTCACACACTCTGTTAACAGCTCCATCAGCTGCTGATGAACGTGACTCTAATGTGAATCAATGAGTTAAAGACTCATCCAACAGAATCCAATCAGACAACAGGAAACGTGTCCAGAAAAAGGACACACACAGACACACACACACACACACACAAAAGTTTTCTTCATTACATCATCATTCCACCTCCCACGGTATGAACCACATTGTGCTGAAGGGCTGTGGATGAAACTGGCTGATATTCCTGCGCAGGTGATAATGAGGTGGATTTGAGGGGAGCAGGT